ATATTAACATCTTACATTACTGTATGCGCTTATCAAAACTGAGAAACCAGCATTGGTATAAAGAAATTTCAGACTTTATTTGGAATTTGCTTTTCCACTGATTTCCTTTTTCTGTTCCAGGATCCAATCCAGGGTACTACATGCATTTAGTTGTTATGTCTGCCTGTCTCTCTGTGACTGTTTTCTCACTTTTCTTTTCATGACTTAAAGAGTACTCGTCAAGTATTTTGTAGAATATCCCTCAACTTGGGTTTGTCTGATGTTCTTCTCACTATTAGCCTGGGGTTACAGGTTTGGGGAGAGAATATCACAGAGATGAGCTGCCTTTCTCGCCTCATCCTATCAGGGAGTCACAGTGTCCACATGACGTCACTGGTAGTGGTAACTGATCGCCTGGTGGAGGTGGTATCTGCCAGGCTTCTCCACTATAAAGTTACTGTCCTTCCCTCTTCACATGCTGTTCTTTTGTTTTTGTTTTTGTTTTTGTTTCTTGCGGTACGCAGGCCTCTCACTTGTTGGCCTCTCCCGTTGCGGAGCACAGGCTCCAGTCGCGCAGCTCAGCGGCCATGGCTCACAGGCCCAACCACTCCGCGGCACGTGGGATCTTCCCGGACCGGGGCACGAACCCGTGTCCCCTGCATCGGCAGGCGGACTCTCAACCACTGCGCCACCAGGGAAGCCCACATTCTGTTCTTTTGAAGCAAGTCTCTAAGTTCAGCCTGCCCGCAAGGTGTGGGGGCTGGGAGAGATTGAGTCCCACCTCCTGGAGGGGAGAGGATCTACACATATTACTCCAAGTTCTTCTGTTAGGAGGATTTGTCTCTTCTCCTCCACTGTTTGTTTCTCCCCTGTGAATTTGGTTACAGCTGCTAGAAAGAAGACATAAGTGATTTAGAACGTATAGTTCTGCCATTGAGGAATATAGTCTAATTGAATGGAGAGCATTTGAACAGGACCAAGCTAGGAAACATGAGGTTTATGAAGTAGGCACTACTTCTTGAGTTGCCTGTGGCCACTTTCTCCAAAGCTGTGGCTCCACCATCGTTCCAAGTTGGCTAAGACGGCTCCTGCCTGGTGCACTCCCCTCCCCATTCCATTCCTTCAATAAACTACTACCTGAGGGAACTTCATAAAAATATCGCCATGCTTAAAATCCCTGCCTAACATCTTTTGGTGCCTCCCCAGCGTAAAATTTTAGATATTTAAGCATGGCCTGGTTCCTGCTTATGCCTCCGGCATCAACCCCATCCGTGTCCCCTTGGGTCCCACTCTCTTGCCGCAGGTTCCCGCAGGCCTCTGTAGCTTTGCGTGCACCTCTGCTTTGCCTGAAGTGTGTGCTGCCTTCTCACACCTGCCTAGTTTTGGGGAGTCTTCTTTTCACCCCACCTGGTCCGCCAGCCTTCGACCCACCCGCTGCTTTCATAACAGCCTGTGCCTTTTGGTTGTTCCCTTGGATTTGCCAGTCATTCTCCTCCTCACCTTCTTTAAAAGTAGTCACCTGTGCTGCTTCCACTCCTGTCCCCACTCCCCTCCACTTACTGCCACCCAGGGTACCACACATCAGCTGATTGCAGATTCATTGAATGCTTTCCAATTGTTGTGAAGCATTCTTGTTTGGAACTCTTTATAATCTTGGCTTCTGAAACACCACTCTCTCCTGGTGCTTATAGGTACTTCCTCACTCTCTAGCTGGTTCCTCCTGCTCTGTCTGCTCCTGAGTTCTGTCATCAGACCTGTTTTCTCCACTTATCTCTCCTCAGTAGTTCAACCCTCTGTGGCTTCCGTTAAAAATTCCCATATCTTACTCCTAACCTTGTTCTCTCTCTTTAATGCTGCTAGAAGCGCAGAGCCATCCGAATCACCTGCAAGCCTCCTCAGATCTTTAAATCAGGAAATACAAGACTGTCATTGTCTTCCCCTACCCCCATCTTCATTTTGTGCCTCCCAAACCCAGGCCTGCCCCTCATGTTTTGTTTGCAAGGCCTGGGTCAGGAATACAAATGGAGCATCACATACCATATAAATCAAACTAAGAAACAAGAAATGTATTCTCCCCCCCCCCCCCCCGAGACATAAACTTTCTTAAAGACCTGGAAGATCAGGTTCAAATTGAAAAATCTTGGGCTTTTTAGAGTTGGGTGTCAGCAGTTCGAGGAGAGCAGGCCTCCAGCATAGCCCTCTTCTCTTCCCAGCCAGTGCTGTGCCCCCCCAACCCCCATGAGCTGGAGCTTGTGGACCCCCAGCCCAACAGTTCACGCACCATGTATACCCTGCAGATAGCTCCCCTTGGCCACCGCTTGTGGTACACACCCTGGAGGAGCATTCTGCTCACCGCCTTGGGATTCTGGGGCTCCTGATGGCACATTCCCCGGACCCAATAATCACCACTGGGTGAGGAGGTGCCTGGTTGGGTGAGGACCAGCTGTCCCCGTAGATGGCCTGATTGTTTTCCTCTCCACATGTTGCCTCTCGCCTTCTCTGTGCCCTTGCTCCTCTTTCAAAAGCCTGCTCATCTTTCAGGGTATGGTTTCTACAGGCCTCATCTTCTTTTAATCCTCTCTTTGTTGCCCTTATTTGGACTTAATCTACCCAGCTTCTCCTTGGGTTTCAGAAGTGCTTTACTGTGATAAAAGCAGTGCATGCTGTCTGATCCTGTCTCCTTCCCTCACTAAATTGCCAGTTTTTTAAGAGCAGGATCGCTGATTGGCTTTGCCCCCAGTACTAACACGAAGTCTCAGAAGTGGAAAGTGCTTGACAAGTGTGGCTTGAATCCACCGCAGTTCTGGCGTCACCCTCCTGTTGTTGTGGTAACCCTGTCAAAACAGGAAATGAGGTTAGTTTAGCATGACTTGTTCATAATTGACTCATGCTGGTTCCCTTTTCTTCCCTAAACGATCACAAAATGTCTGTTAAATAATCTACTCCAGAATTTCGTGGGCTTCTACTTCCACATTAACTGGTCAAATATAGTTCTGGAATCTCTGTTCCCACCCACCCTGGCCCTGGAATTCACAATGCATTTGGAGAGCCCTGGCTCCTTTTTTTAATTGCTCTCTTAAGAATTGCTTGATGAACAATATACCAGTGTACAGTTTAAGTTTTGACATATTATACACCCATTAAGCTATCAAAACAATTAGATAATGAACATTCATCGCCTCCAAAAGTTATCTAGCTTCCATTTCCATTTGTGTAATCCCTCCCACCCAGCAGCCCCAGGTAAACCCTTCTGATGTGCTTTGTGTCCTTATAGACTAGTTTGCATTTTATATAAGTAGAGGTACTTTTCTTTTGGTCTGGCTTCACTCAGCATAATTATTTTGAGATTCATCTGTGTTGTATATATCAACAGTTTGTTTCCTTTTATTGCTGAATAGTAGGAATCTACCGTTTTAAGAATTGAATGTGCTCACCTCTGGGCTTGACCTCCCATTCCCCACCATTTATGTATCTCAGGATAGAATTCATCTGGGACTTGAAGCTGCATTTATGTAAGATGACTGGGTGCTCTCAATAGCTTGAGCTCGTCAAGGGCACAGTAATAGTATAATCTTTGTATCCTGTTAGTATAACCAAATGGCTGGATAAAAGTTCCCTCCTTTACTTAGGGGTGTGTGTCTGTCTGTCTGTCTGCGCCTCTCTCTCTGTTTTATTTATTTATTTACTTTAAATTTATTTTTTATTTATTTTTGGTTGCATTGGGTCTTTGTTGCTGTGCGCAGGCTTTCTCTAGTTTCAGTGAGCGGGGGCTACTCTTCGTTGCAGTGCGTGGGCTTCTCATTGCAGTGGCTTCACTTGTTGTGGAGCACGGGCTCTAGGTGCGTGGGCTTCAGTAGTTGTGGCACACAGGCTCAGTAGTTGTGACTTGTGGGCTCTAGAGCGCAGGCTCAGTAGTTGTGGTGCATGGGCTTAGTTGCTCCGCAGCATGTGAGATCTTCCAGGACCAGGGCTCAAACCCGTGTCCCCTGCATTGGCAGGCGGGTTCTTAACCACTGCGCCACCAGGGACACCCTCTCTCTGTTTTAAATAACATACCCAGTTCCAATTTCATCACTGAGTGTCAGTCGGTACTGTTGGAGGGGCACATTGACCATAAGCCCCTCTCCCCAAGCAGTCTTATTCTCAAAGGCAAGTTTATGCCCGTGTTTGTTTGACTACCATGCTTCAGTAAAACTGGATATTTATTTATTTATTTTTAATTTTAAAATATTTATTTATTTATTTTTGGCTGCGTTGGGTCTTCGTTGCTGCGTGCGGGCCTTCTCTAGTTGCGGCAAGCAGGGGCTAGTCTTCTGTTGCAGCGCGGTGGCTTCTCGTTGCGGAGCATGGGCTCTAGCTCTGTGGGCTTCAGGAGTTATGGCATGGGGGCTTAGTAGCTGTGGCTCATGGGCTCTAGAGCGCAGGCTCAGTAGTTGTGGCACACGGGCTTAGTTGCTCCACGGCATGTGGGATCTTCCCGGACCAGGGCTCAAACCCGTTTCCCCTGCATTGGCAGGCGGATTCTTAACCACTGCGCCACCAGGGAAGCCCTGGGTATTTATAATGTTGAGTGTAAACCAATATTTTATAACTATTTTAACCTGTGTTCTCTTTTGTTGAACTCAGGCTCTAAAATCTGAATTACCAAAAAAGTTTTGATTTCTAATAGTATTTACTCCCAGTGTTGAATGAGCTTGCTTGAACGACATATCCCTTTGCCTGTCTACCTAAAAATCAGTGGTTTGGGCCTTCTTGCAGCAAACCAAAGCAAAATAAGATTTGAGTAGCTATTCTTTTATTTAAGGAAATAGACATCATTTCAAAGTGTTGGGGTACCCGAGTGCAATGTATAAATGGTGTGAGAAAACTGAAGCTGAGTGAGACAAGGTCCCTCCTACAGCATAGTTTTGTGGTAGAGTCAAACAGATGCATCAGTAATTCTCAGTATAAGTAGACTGATAGATATCATTATAGAAGCACAAACTTGAGAATAAACTTATTTTACTGTTTCCTGTTTCTAGCACTTACCCAGAGGAGACCAGAAGTAATGTCTTACTGCCCGTCCGTGTTCTTTCATTGCTTCGGTCAGTGGACCAGATGTTGATACTTGTTAATATGAAAAGCTCTTACAGAAAAGATTCAATAGAATATTGTTCATAAAGATAGTAGTAATATTCAAGATTCAGATTCATCATAAAATTGAAGATAAAATTATTATTGCTTCTGCTTGGAATTCTATTAAGTCAGACCTTCAGGACAACTTGGAAAGAACTGGGCCCTATGTTATGGCTGTGAAGGTATTTTTTGAACAATACTTTTTAGGTTTTGTTATAAGACTACCCAAACATCTTGATTAAATTTCTTGTGGGGGGGAGGGGAGGAAGAAATAGTCATGTCATTTTGCACGTAAGACAAAGTTGTTGCAAGCAATCAATGCATCCTCCTGCCCCACCTTTTAATTGAAGTATAGTTGACTTACAATATTAGTTTCAGATATACGGCATAGTGATTTAGTACTTTTACAGATTATGCTCCATTAGAAGTTATTACAAGATAATGGCTATAATTTCCTGTGCTATGCAGTATATCCTTATTGCTCTCTTGGGTGCATTTTTGTTCGGGTTGAAGATGTTGATGGTCAATTGATTGTGCTGAGTCGGTGGAATCTAATCCAACAGTAGGAAGTTGTTTTGGAGGCAGAAATGATTGCTCTCACCAGAATGCAGTTGCTGTTAAAAACAGTGGGAAAATGGCTTATGTGTGTCATACGCCCATGTTCCTGGGTTTATGAAAATGGGCATCTGTACAGTTCCCAGGGCCAGGCCCTCTGTTAGTTTTGAGATTCTGTGTGTGCTGCGTTTTGCCAGCCGCATCCTCCCTAGCTTAAGGCCTCTGTGGATTATACACATGCTTCCTTCACGTGTATGAAACAAGTATTTGCCCAGAGTGCTAAACATTTAATACTTTACCGCCTTGTTCTGAGAACTGTTTTTAATGCCATCTCCCCTCCTCCCCTCCTTTTTTATTTATTTTTTTAGCTCTGCTTATGATAATGTCAACAAAGTTCGAGTAGCTATCAAGAAAATCAGCCCTTTTGAGCACCAGACCTACTGCCAGAGAACCCTGAGGGAGATAAAAATCTTACTGCGCTTCAGACATGAGAACATCATTGGAATCAATGATATTATTCGAGCACCAACCATTGAGCAGATGAAAGATGTGTATCCTTTTCAGGCAGCTGCTCCACTGCTCCGTCACCTGGTTGAGTAATGTAACTGGACGTGTCTGCACTTATAGGGGTGGAGGAAAAGTAATAAAGCACATTTAAGGGGAAACTGTACTTTGCTTGTCATTTACTGTAATACTTGCATCATTTACATTTTTTCTCTGATTCATTTCTTTCATTTGTCAGTAACTGATTTTAGTATCTTTTTGGCAAATCCAATATTTTCTGTCAGTTTCAGTAAAGATTTCCTTTAAGTGTATAGTGGAAAATTTTGGAGAACACCTTTTCCAGTCACGTGTTTGCCACTCAAGGCATGGTTTGTTATGATGGTGAAAAGGAAAGAGCAGTCGACTGTGGAAGAGGGTGCCCTGTACAGCACCTGGTCAGGTCCAGACTGTCCTGATCTTAGCGCCATTTCACATCTGGGTCCAGTTTTCTCGTTTTTAAAACTGGCGTGCTTGCCCTCATGATCTACAAGGCTGGCTCAGCTCTGAAGTTGTGTGATTAACTATGACAAACATTTAGAAATCTGGACTAAGCAGGTAAAGGCTTGGGTAAAGGAGGCTGCCTGGGTAAAGACTGTGTTTGAAAGGTACAAGTGTGAAGTGTGCTGAGGAGGACCTGATGAGAGAAGGTTCCGGTTCTGGCCGCAGCAATGTTCCCACCAGTTTGCCCACTTTGCATTCTGCCCCTCCAGGGAGAGGCAGCTCACTATCTCCAGGCAGCCTTTCCATTTTTATTTTATTTATTTTTATTTTTATTATTATTTTTTAGCCTTTCCATTTTTAGACAGCTCTGTCACTAAGTTCTGATGATATTTTAAATGAAATGCCTCCTCCTGCCATCTGTTGTCCTGCTTTACCTTTTGCCTTGAAAATCACATCTCTGTCAGATGACAAGTTTTCCAGTCATGTTTCCTTCAAATTCTGTACCATGTCTCATCTAGCATGAATCTGTAGATCTGTAATATTTACACAGAAATGAATAAAAGAAATGCAAAAACACTAATGAAATAATATCGTGGTGAAGTTAAAACCTAGCCACTTTTATAATTTATTTTCTGTGGGAATGAATGAAGTTAGCCATAACTAAAATTTTATATGCTGAGATACACGGATAGGCAGGAAAACAAGAGGAGCTCAACCAGGACAGGCCCCTACCTAGCACAACTTCCAACAGTCTTACATACTTATTTATACTCTTAACCTTAATTGAAGAGTGAAGCAAATAGACTGAGGGTTGAGTTTAGTAGCAAATGTGTTCTGGGCCTGTGTTTCCAAAAGTTTTATGGTTGATTTTTGTCGAGAAGGAGGGGGACAAGAAGGGAGGTAAAAGAACAGTGACGTTTTGAGTTGTTGCTAGGCCAGAGAGGAGGGAGTGCCTGGTGCTGGCCCCCACCCCTCCCCCAGCCCTTCCCAGCAACCCCAGAGGGCGCCTGTTGATGGTGGACAGCTTGGAGACCAGGACTCATCCACACCACCTGCGTCAGGTCTCCGCTAGCGCATCACTGCGCATATCAGGCAGGCGTGGTGCCTGCTGTCTCACAGGACCTAGGAAGGAGTTCACGACTTTCCGATTCCTTCTGTTGAGGTGTACCAAGTTTTCATCAGGTTCTCATTTCCCTCCCGAGCCTCATGATGTAATAATGGACCCTTTGGCTTCGTTTTGTTTTCAGTGCTTTGCTAAGTGTGACCAGCTATTTTGGTGTGTTACCTTAACCTTTCCAAACAGATATATAGTACAGGACCTCATGGAAACAGATCTCTACAAGCTCTTGAAGACGCAACACCTCAGCAACGACCATATCTGCTATTTTCTTTACCAGATCCTCAGAGGGTTAAAATATATCCATTCAGCTAACGTGCTGCACCGTGACCTCAAACCTTCCAACCTGCTGCTCAACACCACCTGCGATCTCAAGGTCAGCTTGGTTATTTACTCTTAGGGTGATATCTGTTGAAAAACTCATGTTACTGGGGCATATTTATATTTATTGTTATTCAGATTTAAAATTACACCAGAAATACATGAAAACATTTATGGCAAAAAAAAAATGCAAGTAAAGGGTGCTAGTTCTCTTTTTCTTCTCCATCCCATTGCTCCTCCTTCTCCAGAGGTAACCACTATAACAAATTGGTGTATTTTCATCCAGAGTTTTTTCTGTGCTCTTACATACACATGTACTTTTTTACTTATGTATGTAAATAGGATTATGTGTACATTAAAAGATCTATTTCATTGGTCACCTTTTTCTTCGATAAATTTTATACAGTAAACACTCAGAAAACAGCAGAAAAGTTGACCTTAATGATTTTGATTCCTAAATAATGCATTCCCAATAAATAGGAAAACCCTAGATCCTTTATAGTCCTTAGAGTTCTCTTAAAAATGGACAGCATTGGGCTTCCCTGGTGGCGCAGTGGTTGAGAGTCCGCCTGCCAATACAGGGGACACGGGTTCGTGCCCCAGTCCGGGAAGATCCCACATGCCGCGGAGTGGCTAGGCCCGTGAGCCATGGCTGCTGAGCCTGCACATCCGGAGCCTGTGCTCTGCAATGGGAGAGGCCACAACAGTGAGAGGCCCGTGTACTGCAAAAAAAAAGGGCAGCATTTATATATATTTCTATTTTAATACATGGCAGAGCTAAATAAGGAGGGAGGTCTACAGCTGTCTCCAGTATGATGAAGGGAATGTGGATTCAGTCTAGTAAAAATGCATGTGAATTTAAGACCTAGATGAATGAAATGACATCCCATGTTCATGGATTGGAAGGCTTAATATTGTTAAGATGGCAGTACTTCCCAGTTTGATCTACAGGTTTAATGCAGTCCGTATCAGAGTCCCAGGTGGCTTTTTTTGCAGAAATGGGCAGGCTGATGCTGAAATGCATATAGAAATTCAAGAGACCCAGAATAGCCAAAACAGTCTTATGAAAGAGCAAAGTTAGAGGACTCACACTTCCTGATTTTAAAACTTATTACAAAACTATAGTAATCAAGACATTGTGATACTGGCTAAGAGTAGGCATATAGCTCACTGGAGTAGAATTGAGTCAATAAATAAACCCATATGTTTTTGTTTTTTCATTCATTCATTCATTTAGTCATTTATTTTCGGCTGCGTTTGGTCTTTTTTTTTTTTCCCGATACGTGGGCCTCTCACTGTTGTGGCCTCTCCCGTTGTGGAGCACAGGCTCCAGGCACGCAGGCTCAGCGGCCATGGCTCACGGGCCCAGCCGCTCCGCGGCATGTGGGATCTTCCCGGACCGGGGCACGAACCCATGTCCCCTGCATCGGCAGGCGGACTCTCAACCACTGTGCCACGAGGGAAGCCCTGCGTTTGGTCTTTGTTGCTGCGTACGGGCTTTCTGTAGTTGTGGCAAGTGGGAGCTACTCTTCATAGCGGTGCACAGGCTTCTCATTGCAGTGGCTTGTCTTGTTGCGGAGCACAGGCTCTAGGTGCACGGGCTTCAGTAGTTGTGGCATGCGTGCTCCGTAGTTGTGGCTTGCGGGCTCTAGAGCACAGGCTCAGTAGTTGTAGCACACAGGCTTAGTTGCTTCGCAGCATGTGGGATCTTCCCAGACCAGGGCTCAAACTCATGTCCCCTGCATTGGCAGGCGGATTCTTAACCACTGCGCCACCAGGGAAGCCCCAACCCGTATGTTTATGATCAACTGATTTTTGACAAGAGTGCCAGGATCATTCACTGGGGAAAGAATAGTCTTCACCAAATGGTGCTGGGACAGTTGGATAACCACATGCAAAAAAAAATGAGTTTGGGCCCCTCCCTGCCTGTACTATGTACAAAAATTAACTTAAAATGGATTAGAGATCTAAGTTTAAAGGCTGAAACTAGAATGCACTTAAAAAACACAGGAGTAGGGGCTTCCCTGGTGGCGCAGTGGTTGGGGGTCTGCCTGCCGATGCAGGGGATGCGGGTTCGTTCCCCGGTCCGGGAGGACCCCACGTGCCGCAGAGCGGCTGGGCCTGTGGGCCATGGCCGCTGGGCCTGCGCGTCCGGAGCCTGTGCTCCACGGCGTGAGAGGCCACAGCGGTGAGAGGCCTGCGTACCGCAAAAAAAAACACAGGAGTAAATTCTTGCAAACTTGTGTTAGACAGACTTCTTAGACATGACACCAAAAACACAAGCAACAACATTTTTTTTTTATAATGGATTTCAGGGAGTTCCCTGGTGGCCTAGTGGTTAGGACTCAGTACTTTCACTGCTGTGGCCTGAGTTCAAACCCTGGTCGGGGAACTGAGATCCTGTAAGCTGCATGGCGTGGCGTGGCGTGGCGTGGCGTGGCATAGCCAAAAAAAAAAAATATTTCATCAAGATCAGAAGATTGCACTACAAAGTAAATCGTCAAGAGAGTGAAAAGACAACCCCCAGAATGAGAGAAAATATTTGTAAATCATATATGTGATACGAGATTTATATGTAGAATATATGAAAAACTATTACAGCTTAACAACTAAAAGATAAATGGCACAATTTAAAAGTGGGCAAAGAATCTGAAGAGACCAAGGATCTAAAGAAGGTATACAAACAACCAATAAGTACATGAAAAGATGCTTGACATCATTAGTCAGTGGGGAAATGCAAATCAAAACCACAGTGAGATACCACTTCACACACACTACGATGATATAATCAGATGATAAGTGTCAGCAAGAATTCGGCCCCAGGTGTATACCTGAGTGGAATGAAAACATGCATCCGCACACAGACAGATATAGAAATATTCATAGTGGCGTAATAGCCCAAAGGCGGAAATAATTCAGATGTCCAAATGACGATGGATAAATAGAATGTGGTGGATCCATACAGTGTAACAAAAAGGAATGAAGTACTGATATGTGCTACAATATGGATGCATCTTTTTTTTTAATGGATTTTAATGAGTTATTTATGTTTTATTTTTGGCTGCGTTGGGTCTTCATTGCTGCATGTGGGCTTTCTCTAGTTGCGGCTAGTGGGGGCTACTCTTTGTTGCGGTGCGCGGGCTTCTCATTGTGGTGGCTTCTCTTGTTGTGGAGCACGCACGGGCTCTAGGCACACAGGCTTCAGTAGTTGTGGCACATGGGCTTAGTCGTTGTGGCTCGTGGGCTCTAGAGCGCAGGCTCAGTAGTTGTGGCACACGAGCTTAGTAGCTCCACGGCATGTGGGATCTTCCCGGACCAAGGCTCGAACCCGTTTCCCCTGCATTGGCAGGCGGATTCTTAACAACTGCGCCAACAGGGAAGCCCAATGTGGATGCATCTTGCAAACATTATTAAGTATGTGAGGGAAAGAAACCAGTCATAAATGATCACGTATTGTAGAATAGATGTGTCTGTAGAGATGGAAGGTAGATAACCAGTTGCTGTGGGCTGGTGGGATTGGAGAGGCATTGGGAGAGACTGCTGATGGGCACAAGGTTTCTTTTTGAGGCTATAAAAATGTTCTAAAATTGGGTAGTGGTATTGGTCATATAGCTCTGTGATATAATACCAAAAACCATTGAACTGCACACTTTAAACGGGAGAACTGTGTAGTATGTGAATTATATCTCAATAAATTTGTTTGAAAAGTACATATAGATGAATAGCAGTGATCATTTTGTGGACTTCACTTCCACAGACGTTCCTGTGGGAAGCTGTGTAAGATATACCTGGCAAGGGAGTTGAGTGTCTGTCCCTGCAGTCTGAAAACTGATAGGTCAGGGGTCTGATAAGCAATAGATGATTGCAGTACTGTCTGCTGTAACACACACAAAGGAGAGAGGTGAGTTGGTTCTGGCCAAGCTGTGAGGCATCGGGAAGGAGGATTGTCATGCTGTCCCTCTCAGCATGTCAGGCTTGCAGTGGGCGAGTGGCTGTGTTGGGCGCAGGCAGAAGGAACAACAGAAATATAGTAAGAATAAGAAGTAAGGGACGAGTGCACCAACACTGAGGCCTGCGCTGTGTGGCTGCAGCTTTGGTGATCACTGAAGTGTTGATCATGAAGAGCCTTCTGGAACTATCTAAAAAGGCAGTGGGTCCTGTCATCAGGCAGTCATCTTATCTGCTATCGTTGGGTGTTTAAAGCAGGATGGCAGATGTCCTGTGAGACGTTGTGGAGGACAGCTTCCTGCATCAGATATGACTCGGTTGGACTCTGTCACCTCTTAGGATCCTTCTGAGTTAAATTCATGTACTTCCTACATAGGGTGTAGCCAGATCCCTGTGCATGGATCTGTGCAAATGAGAGCCAGGTTGGCACACAAGGAATGGCCGTACTTTGTCGGCTCTTAGTGATTTTCTTGAAAAATTACAGTGAAGAGCGGCCAGGCAGCCCAGCTTCGTGAAGGCTCTCGGCGCGCTGCGGCCCCCAGGCACCCGGCACGCGCCCGCCCCACCACCACTATGCCCAAGAGGAAGGTCACCTCCGCCGAGGGGGCGGCGAAGGAGGAGCCCAAGAGGAGATCGGCGAGGTTGTCAGCTAAACCGGCTCCTGCAAAAGTGGAAACGAAGCCAAAAAAGGCGGCAGGAAAGGATAAATCTTCCGGCAAACAAAAGGGAAAAGGGGAGCGAAGGGAAAACAGCCTGAAGTGGCTAACCAAGAGACTAAAGAAGACTTACCTGCAGAAAATGGAGAAACTAAAAATGAGGAGAGCCCAGCTTCTGATGAAGCAGGAGAGAAAGAAGTCAAGTCTGATTAATATCACACACCTGGTCCTATCAGTGATCCGTTTCCCTTCTTGTACAATCCAGAGGAATATTTTTATCAACTATTTTGTAAATGCAAGTTTTTTAGTAGCTCTAGAAACATTTTTAAAAAGGAAGGAATCCCACCTCATCCCATTTTTTAAGTGTAAATGCTTTTTTTTTAAGAGGTGAAATCATTTGCTGGTTGTTTATTTTTTGGTACAACCAGAAAATAGCGGGATATTAAATATG